TTTAAACTAAGAATATTTATAAAAATAAAAACACATTTTCTTAGGATCTATTTTAATATATAAAATTTTTAAACGTTAAATTCTGTTATTTGTTATTGAGCTCTGAAAGTGTAATCTTTCAGACGGTAACAGTAAAATGTCTTTACTATTTCCTGTCTTCGAGAGATTACACACCATTTTGGAAAGATTAAGTTTCTATAGAAATGATAGAAAATCCATTAAAAAACATACTGTTCAGTAATCTGCAAATTGATATGAATTTCAAATAACATGTTGTTGTAACAGACAAATAAATCACAAATAATTGAAATATACTTGATTTTACAATTAGATACATATAAAATATTGATATACCTATTTGATGCTTATGCAGTGAGAGTATATCTCCACAGATCTAAGGGGTAGGGTGAAAATTATGCAAAGTTTTTCACATGGTCTGGCTTGGATAGGTCGATGTCTTGTTTGTTTCTTAGCTGCTCATTGCAAACCCAGTTGAACCTATACAATTCTCTGGAGTTAATTTGATGCAGTCAGATAAATTTATTTATTTGGATATAAATATTGAAATCTAAAGGTTGGATAGTTAAGTTTCAAGAGTTTTAAAATTTTTTTTGGTTGGATTGGTAATGCTTTTATTGGTTTAATGTATTTATAATGATGATGTAGGAGTTTGCTTAACCATGTTTCAATTTGCTCTGTTTATTGATAGACAAATAACAGCTTTGGAAGTTGCATTTTGCTTAATTTTTTACTGTTAAAAATGGAAAGAATGATTGAACAAAGGACAAATGTGAAAATTTGTGTTAAATTAGATAGAACATCTATTTCCATGGATATCTTACCTAATTTAACACACATCTGAACACAAGATTAAATAAGACAAATATACAGTGTCTTCTGTGTTTAAAATGAACCTTATGGCATTAAAAATGAAGAAGTTTTGTGAAGATGATTGCTGTGACACACCAGTTATTAAGGTGATAACAGAAACATTAAGAAATTTGTGACAATGATGCAATTGTTAGTTAAGTATGTGCCTGTTGATTGCCAATTTGATAGAAATAGGAAATGGTCAAATTTTTATACAAAGAAAACTGCAAATAAAGAAGTTGATTGTGAAATTGCTGTCTCACTTCCATTGGAATAAAATAATGGTGATTGAACTTGGATAAATAGTTTCTGAATGGATCAAAGAAAAAAATTGTTTCACTCAAGTTAAGGGTGGTGAAAGTTTCTTTTTAAATTTTCACATACATGTAAATAAACTAAAATGATTATAATTAAATTTCTTATGACTGCTGTTTATATATAAATATTATAAAGTCTCTGTAAATCCGCACGAAAAATATATAAATTTTCACTAATCACTGTATACAGTGATTAAATAAAGAGAAGTAATTAGCTATCTGCTATGTGATGGTCTACCGCTAAACCGAAAATTTATATATTTTTCGTGCGGATTTACAGAGACTTTATAATATTTATTTTAAACTAAAATGAATACAACAAATACTTTAAAACTACCACCAAGGACATCAATTGTAACATACAGAGATTGCATTGTGCTTTGAATTGGATGAGAAAGTTTTTTAATTGTTTTTTGTTTGTATGATTAAAAATAAAACTAAATTTCTTCTTAATCTAATTGTCCAACTCTTGTATTCTTGAATTTTGGAATTTGTGATTAATCTTAGAAGAATATGCTAATGTAAGTGTCAAATTGAAGTCCTTGGGATGTACAATGCCAATCCTCAGAATTATGTTTCTGAGGTAATTGAGGTGTTTGAAAAAAATCCTAAAATTGTATTAATAAGTGTGTGTTAATATTTTTGCTCTCTGAATTTTGCCTATAGATGTGGCTGTTATCTTGTGCTCGAAATGGAAAAGATTATCTGATAAAAAAAATCTCATAACAAAGATCAAGATAGTGCGGAATAACACTGTATATCTGCTAGAATTTTTACAGTTCTCACAGCATCGCTTATTGAAATACAAAAAATATCATCTAAAAAATATTTTTTATTTTCACTAAATATTTTTGTTTACATAATTTATTTTTCTTTGTGTTATTCATCAATATTTTCCATAATAAGAATGTCATCTGCCTTGATTTAGTAATATAAAGCTTGGCATGCTTCAGGAACCTTCTCACCAGGAACATAATATCGTTCACTTTATTTTTTTGCAATCAGCAATGTCCTGGTTTACTTTTTCTCCATTTGATATGGATGTGTACTGATGCTAGGGGCATTATTCATAATTGAATACCTCGGAATACTACAAACTGAGATTAACACTAAATATGCCTGAGAACTTCGATTGTTAAACAGGTTTCTACAAAAACTTGAATGGCTGTCATTTGGACTGTAATATAAATTCATATTGTGTACATTGAATGCAAATTCCTTTATAATAACAAAGAAAGATTAAGCCATTTAGTTTTTCTTGAATATGTTTAGTAGTAAAACAAGTATAAGAGTTTTTATAATAGTTTTATAGAACTATTAGGGGGCTTTGCCCCTGCTTGACCCCTTGTTCCTAATATAGACTATTCGTAACAAAAATATTGCAATTTGTCAATTACTGGTGCTGCTGTTTTTATTATTATTATTTTTAATGGAAAAACATTTGTGACAATTTTATGCTCAGTATTTTACATGTATACAATGCTGGACAGAAAAAGTGAAATACCCAGAATACATCATTACTTTATGTATGTTTCAATTTTTCTGTCAAACAGTATATATATTGAATTAATTTTCATTCTTTACCTCGTGGAGACTCATTTCAATATACATCGCACATAATTTACGATACAATTAAAAATACTTTTGCTTAGATACTCAAATAAAAAACACTGCAGACACCAGCAAATAACCAGCAAAAAGAAAAAATTTTACTATAAACTAACATTTTCTTTTATAAACAATAGACATCATCTGGTTACTGTTAGAGCATATAATGAAACAACCAAAAAATTAAAATTAAAAACTTCTTAAAATAGAACATTTTAAATTACAGATTGAGCATGTATAAAGTAAATTTTTTTGTACTTTTTGTTGGCTATTGGTGTTAGGTGTGGTTTATTTACATATTAATGCATTATTTTGATGATTGGACTGACTTAGTGTTTGAATCTGCTATGATTTTCAAACAAAATCAATCAAAGACGTTTACTTTCATTTAGGTATTCAATTTAATTATATTGATGATGATATGTTTTTAGGATACTCTGCTCCAGATTGATTTTTTTTCTTTTGTAATATTCTATGTTGTTGAAATTTCAAATTAAATTAAGGTCAGGTTGGATAAGTGCACTCTCAATTCTGGAATAACATGCCTTGTTTTCCATAGCAATGGGTTGTGAATATTGCAGGTCTCAAGTGAGTTTTATTTGGTGAACCAGAATACAGTTTTTAAAAATAATACTAAAGGGTCACTTATTCCACCATTGGAGTAACTGGCCCTCCATTGTAATAGCTAGGAAGACTCAAAATCAAATGCAGGGGAAAGTGTGCCTAAACTGTGACAGTAACCTCTGTTTGTATACAGATTTTAGTATATTCCATCACAGGTTTGGCTATAGCAAATGAACTGATGGCACAATGAAAGGCAACAGTAAAATTAACATTATTTATTACTATTTACTATAAAACACCATATTCCAAGTTACAAAAGATCTGAATTTACAACCCATGTAATTAAACTGTCTTCAAACACCACATTTTGCTGAAACACTTGACAATGTCTTGAAGAGGAATGTCTGTGTAATCTTCCACATTTGGCCACCAGAAAGTGGAAGTGTTTCCTCTAGATTTTTTCTTGATACAATATAAAACTTAACTTGAAACCATGTTGTGTTTATATTGTTGTTTCCAACACACAATGCAGTGTAATTTAGCAATCACTTGGCTTCCTTTCATCTTTATTTCAGTTGAGACATTAAGAAAAACACAACAACTCTGTTTATCAAAGTGGATAATGACAACTTGTCCAACATAATGTCAGATACTTGATTTTTTTCAGAAACTTCACAATGATGGAATAGTCAAATACTAGTGCATTGCTTTCATCTGTCCCACATGCTCATTTTGAGCAATCAATGTGTAGAACACAAAGGAGTTGCATTTTCCCCACTGGCATGGGTGCACTTACCTCAATGATCAAAATTTTGCAGGGTAAATGCATCTCAACCCATCATGATGAAATACTTTGAAATTAAGAGTATTTCACCTCACTTTGCAATATTCACCTAAATATTGCATTTTAAAATTATAAATACCGGATTTTAAATACAACAATTACTGTACCTGAATCCATCAGAGAAAAAGACCAAATATATCCAAATTTTTCTGACCACTGTTGCAACTACAGAAGAAACCAACCATCTTAAGCCAGTTTAATCCACACAACATTAATATAGTTATTAATTTTTATAGAAAATAGTGGCCAGACTGCTTACTTTTTCACCAAATTGTGTTGTATTGATTATTAATAGCATCCAAGTTCTAACCCAAAATTAATCAGACAGTTAATAATTTCTTAATAATGCTCAAGTTCTCATTGCTGTGCATTAAGGGTTAACTTGATTGAAATAATTATTTTATATTGCAAAAATAAATGACACTCCATATTAATTTAATTAATGGTTACTTCAATTTATATAAATTAATGCACAATTTAAACAATTAAATGAATGAGCGAGTAAATATTTAAAAAGTGTTGCTATTTAAATAATTTTAATTAATTTAATTTTAGCAATTAATTAATTAACAGAATGTGGAAGGCAGAATATCATTAATATGTATCTTGTTCCAAGTAGCCTTTAATATTAAATTGCATTTAACAAGTTAATTGACAAAAATTAAATTTTTGAATTAAACATTTTCAAGTTTTATTAAGTTTGTGAAAATATAATTATTTTTAATTGAGTTATGATAAATAATACATCAAGAAATTTGTAAAGTGATTGTAATGAGTGTTAAAATTGTTTTTCAGTTTTGACTTCTGCACTTCGGATGAAGATAATTCTCCAGTTGAGAATCTTGGACAAGTGTTATTCGGAGAAAGAATTAGACCGTCACCCTACAAGGTAGATTTGTTCACAATAGTTTTGCATCATTCTAATTAAAATAAATTGCAAATTAAATAATAGACAGCTTCTGTTTGATGTAAAATTTAAAATGAATTGAGATTTAAAAATCTGAGTTTTGCTATTAGTAAAGAATTTAATAAACAGAAATCATCATTATTATTATTATTACTATAATTAATTTTGCAAATGTTTAAAAGTTTTCAGTAAAAAATTTTATAAAATGTCTGTAAACAAATTTTCTGTGTGTTTTAAACAGATTAGTTTTCTGAAAAATGAAAACTGTGTTTCTTTGTGCAATAAAACATATCAAATGAACAAGCAAAGTGATGTCGACAAGTTGAATGAATTGAAAAAGGGAATGTCAAAAAATTATCATCACCACTGGTAAGTATTTGTCAATTAGTGAAATTATAATATATTTAAGAAATAAACCATTTTTAGATTATAGTTATATAGAAAGAGTTACCAATATGCTGCAGTCGAATATGAATATTCATCTGCCATGATGTATATATCACATTGCAAATTATCATAATTTTTTCTGCATTATGTTACTGTGTACAATCATAAACAAAATATTTTTTGTTCCAAATTTATTTAATGGGAATTTATGAATTACTTGTTGTTTATTGACATTTCTTGCTACTGGGATTGATTTCCACAACAGTATTTTTCTTGTTGATTTAGTTTTTGGATTTGATTCAAATAATGTGTGACAATGGTTGGATAGCCAAGGCAGTCAAAGCATCGGCCTATTGTTCTCGGATACTCAAGATCAAATTTGGGTTGGCAACTCCAGTAGTTTTTTGTGAATGGTATGTCCTGAATATGCTACGTTTGTCTTTCGTTGTTTGGTTGACATGTCATGGAAAAAAGTGGCCTGTGGAGTAGGTGAAAAAGCCAAAAATGTGCAATGAAATATAAGGACATGTCTGTGGTCCAATTGAAGTTGATGTCATTCTGCAAATTTAGATGCATTTCTTTTAAATATAGTTTTAACATATTGTGCTATTTGCCATTAATAGAAATTAATATTTTGATTTCTTAAGCTAATAAATACTTAAATATATTACAGTAATGTCCAGTGAATACAAAATTATCCGTTTCTTATAACAAACCCTTAGATAAAAGCAACATAGCAACAACAATAATATGTAAAACTTAAAACAATGAGAACATGCATAAAAAATACAAAAGAAGTAAGTGGAAAATAATCTTCTCAATGAAATATCAATTTTTTTAATAGGAGGAATTTATTAATTATGTTTGAAAAGATAGTATAGACCAATTTGATTTTTCTGACTAATTGGGTAATCAGGTTGATCAAGAAATGTTACCTATTTAGAGAACAAATAATCTGTTGCATGCTTCCAGTTAAAAGGAGACCAGATAGGAATATAAATTTTTCTTGATGTACTACAAATGGGAAAGTGATCAATAGAAAGTTCAATGCAGATCGAGATGGAATTGGATTTGAGCCCAAGAACTATATATATAATTACCAAGACATCACAAGAAAATATCAGTTTCAAGGAAGAATTAAAGTGGAAAAATTGACAATTACTTAAAATTAAAAAAAAAATAATTTTCAGTGATTTAAACAAATTGTTTGGCATCATCTAAAGATGAGAATGAGGTGAGCAACTTCCAGGTAATATTAGATACATTAAAATTGCCACAAAGTAAAATTTTTAAACTAGCCAAAAGGAGACAAGACATTAAAAATAGAAACCCTTAGGATGGAGCATAAAAAGATATTAAAACAAGATTTAACTGTGTTAATTTAATGGTAACAATTGAGTCTTGATATTCAAATGGTTTGCATGCATTTAGATTTATTGGGTATATGAGGGAAATGTCTCCTTTTGATTTGAGTGAATTAATGAGAGGGAGGTAAATCTGTTAGTATTCAGAAAGTTGCATATATCAAAAGAGTTAGCCAACTCTCAGTTATAAAGATTGTTATATAGGTGTTGATTATGTTATAAAGATTTGAAAAATTTTTTACACACCAAGAGCTTTGGTTCTTAAAAGATTTGACATTCTGCATATAAATCTTGAAATTACAGTTAGTTGCTGTCCTGGGGTAATACCAACGCCACCTAGATAATCAGGCCTGAGTGTTCATGGGATAACTGTTGTCCGCCATTACAGTAGTAGTCATATGGTGTTAAGTTAGGTGCTTATACTTACAATCGTAATTAAATTGAAATATTGGGTAATTTGGCAGGTAATTTTCTTAGAATATTTGGGTTTGTTGTTTGTTTAATGTGCTACGGAAGCATTTTATAAATATTAGGGATTTGTAGGGATTTTATAAATATTAGAAATTGTTATAAGGTCGTGAAAAATGCCGTACAGGTGCTGTGTAACAGGTTGTAAAGGCAACTATCCGACTGGACCAAAAGTTCAAGTATTTTCATTTCCAAAGGAAGCTGAATTGGCAGAAAAATGGAAACGAGCCATTCCTAGAGACAACTTAATTGTCAGCAAAACAACAAAGGTAAGTGAATTAATGTTAAACATAAACTGAATTCGTAGTGACTCAAATAACATAAAAATAACCACTGCTAATAATCATACATTATGGAAAAGCTTTGAAGAGTAATTTTTGAATATTGAATATTTAATTAATAGAAATATATTATTAATAACGATATTTGTTTTAATAACGTATGAGTTTTTGTTAATGTTGGGATTTGTAGGGATTTTATAAATATTAGAAGTATTAAAGTATACTATTAAAGTATAAATGTACAGATTTATACTTTAATCTGTATCATAAACAGGGTTGTTAATCTGTCTCTAAACAAATTTATTATTAAATATATATAGTCTACTTCATTTTATAATCAACCAAAGTTATTTTATATGATTTATTCTTTTAAATTTTTTGCTGTTTGTTTTTTTGGCATTTTCAAGCAGGAAAACATAATATATAGGCCTACATTTTTAAGTAACAATTATCATTATTTCTAAGATTTTTTTTAATGTATGCATCTTGAATTTATCTCAAATATTGCTAGAGAAGTTATGAGGCACTAAGAATATGAGAAGCAAATATAAATGTTTTCTACACTTTTAACATCTATTATCTCATATTTTTTTATTAGTATAATATAATGCTTTAGTAATTATTAAAGCAATACACAATTAAAATATTGTTTTAACTATTTTTTGTGTATTTTAATACAGGTGTGTGAGCAACATTTTCATCCATCTGAAATTGTAAGGACATCAACAGATAGTTCAAGAAATAAAGGATGCCCTCGTACCCTGGTACGACCATCTTTACTACCAACAGCAGTTCCATCTATTTTTCCAAACTGCCCAAAATACTTGAGCAAATCAACAACTTACAGAGAGAGTCCTCAAGTAAAGAGACAAAAGTTGGAAGAAGAAAATCTTCAGAAAGCATTACAAGACAGTTTGAAAGAAAGAGAAAATTACATGGAAGCTAGAAAATTATCATCATTAAGTGATTTACAACAGAAATTATCAATGTTGAAGCTTTCCAATTTCTGGAATGTTATTACAAGTCTTGATTCAATAATGTTCTTGAATATTGACAAAAAATCTGCACCAGTAATAACATATTCTGTTGTTGTCAATGAACATCTTGATTTATTGGTGTTTTTATATAGCCATCATATAAAAGATATGGGCAAGGACAGTAAATTTGTAACTAAGATATCAAATGTAACTGAACTTGTTGATTTATTGGAATTAATTGAAAAGACAGTCACAGAAATTAAGAATCCAAATAATGTTGAAGTGATTTTAAATTTTGTAGTAAATGTTTTAAAGTCTTTAGATCTATCTGAATTTGAGAAAAGGAAGAATGTCAACTTTATCATTGAACAAATGTCATTAATAATTTCTAAAAAAATTGTATACAGTCCTTCATTTATGATATTCTCATGTTTGCTCCATTCTATTTCACCATGTGCTTACAAATTTATCAGACAGGCTGGATTTTTTATCAGTCCTCATCCATGTACAATCAGAAAAGTTTGTTCTAATTTACATTTGGGGCCCCAAAAAGAGCAATGTGAAGACAACTTTTTATCATATGTGAACAGAAAATATACATTTTTACAACCTCATGAGTATTATATTAATCTGTTGATAGATGAAATACACTTAAAAGAGTATTTTGATTACAAAAATGGAAATTTGGTTGGCATGTCAAATAATAATACATTGGTTACTGCAAATGCAGCTCAAGTCTTCATGATAGCTAGTATATTAAGTAATTTCAAAGATGTTGCTCACATTTTAGGAGTCAATAAAGTGACGGGTAATTGTTTGCATCAGTGGATCAGAAAAATTATTCTAGGACTGGAAGAAATAGGATTTAAAGTTGTTTCTGTCATTTCAGATAATAATGCTATTAATAGAAAAGCCATGTCTTTATTTGCTGATCCTCCAGATGTTACTTTTATGTATAAACACCCTAAAGATATGACTAGAACTTTATTCTATGTTATTGATCCAGTGCATATAATGAAATGTATATGGCATAACTGGTTGAAGCAAAGAGAGCAGACCTCCATGGTTTATCCGACATTTGAGGGAGATGATAATGTCATTCATTATGCTTGTTTTGATACTTTATTAAAAATGTATGATCTCGAACATGATAAATTGGCAAAGTATTGCCATGGTCTTTCATTAAAGGCTTTGCGTCCCAATGCTTTTGAAAAACAAAACGTGAAACTGGTATTGCAAATTTTCAATGATCTCACTTCAGAGTCTCTTCTAACTCTAGGCCCTAATCATTTGCTTCCCCACTATAGAGAAACAGCTGTTTACATCAACATCTTCGTAAAATGGTGGAAAATTGTTAATGTTAAAACACCTGGCAAAGGAAATAGGTTAAATGATGATTTCATGTGTCCCATAACAGATTATGCAGACGACATCAAAATTGTATATCTTAAAGAAATGTTACAATGGCTAGAAAAATGGAAGAAAATGAATATAAGTTATCCAAAAGGCTCATTGACGAAAGAAACCCATTTGGCTCTAACACAAACTACAGAAGCACTTATACATTTGTCCAAATATTGTTTAAGTGAGATGAATTGTTCATACTTTTTACCTGGCAAGTTTCAAACTGACCTCCTAGAAGATCGGTTTGGACAGTACAGACAATTAAGTGGTGGCCAATATAATATCAGTATTAGACAAGTGTATGAAGTTGAGAAGAAACTTCGTTTACAATCCGTGATCAGATTAAACTTAAAGTCAGATGTTTTTGGTGCAATAAGCTTCAGTGAAATAAAAGATGTCTTCTCCGAGCCTCCACAAATTCTCAAGGACATAGTGGTACCTCCCTTATTTAATGAAATTTATGTAACTTTGGCAGAAATTGAAAATTA